GGACCGGGGCTCGGATCGAGCGCCCGCGCTGCCGGCCCGGGGGCCGCCCCGCTCCGGGGTCGTGCCGTTCATAAAGGGCATTGTGCTCTGCACCCTCAAAGCAGCAGCTCTTCAGCATGGTTAGGGGGGCTACAAAAGCCTGCGGAAGAGGAGGTAACGGGCGCAGAGATGCCTGCCTGTGCCTGGCGATGCTCTTGCAGCCTTAGTTCTTGAGGTGCTATCGAGTTGGCCGAGTAGACGTCAGGTCTGTTAACTCCTTCACCACTGATCCGTTTTTAGCCGCGGCATCTGGCCAATACACTCTTCCTCCCGGCCTACGATGTCAGCCGCCCCCTGACTCCCTCACGTCTAGCTGTTTGAACCTTCAGCCTCCTCGGGGGCAAAGTCAGCGGGCAGAGCTAGGCTTTTCGTACAAAACACTTCAGCTGTGTCAAAAGGCAAGGGGTAAGGGCAAAGTAGCTGGGATTTCCTAGCAAGGGCAATAACTGCGGGGCTGTCGGTTTGGTTGCGGTGCTCGTTTCTGGATGCGATTCAGCAGAGTCTCCCAGTTTAACACAGCTGCAGCATTTCCAGCTCTTGAACGCTCTGGGATCCACAGAGATGGCTTCAGAGCCGCGATCCCGTTTGCCCCAGGCAACGTGTTGTCCCGTGCGCGAGTCTCTTCTTAGTAAGTCCAGGGAGACAACTGTGTCTCTTTGCCCCCTGCAGATACGGCTACAATGACATCGTCACGATCCCTGCTGGAGCAACCAACATCGACATCAAGCAGCGCAGCCACCGCGGGGTCCGTCACGACGGGAATTACCTGGCTCTGAGGACTCTGGAGGGCAGGTACCTGCTGATTTTTTTTTCGGCCATGGAGCAGGACATCCTCATAAAGGGAACCATCCTGAAATACAGCGGCTCCATGACGACCCTGGAGAGGCTCCAGAGCTTCCAGCAGCTTCCTGAACCCCTCACGGTCCAGCTGCTGACCATCGCCAGCGAGGTCTTCCCACCAAAAGTCAAGTACACCTTCTTCATCCCCAAGGACGTGCCCTTCAGCAAGGAGAAGGGCAAAGAGAAGAAGTCGGCCAACGTCATCCGGCCGATGCTGACCTCGCAGTGGGTCCTGGGCGACTGGTCCGAGTGCTCCAAGACGTGCGGCTCCGGCTGGCAGAGGCGGACGGTGGACTGCCGGGACGTCGAGGGCCAAGCCTCGTCCACCTGCGACAGAGCCCTGAAGCCCGAGGACATCAAGGCCTGCGGAGACTTCCCCTGCCCGCTGTGGCGGCGGGGCGCACGGGCCCGCCGCACCCCCG